TAATATCTCTCATGCAGCAAGCGCCGGAATTGCTGAAATCGATCAGATTTACCACGAAGTGTTTGGAATTCTCGCGAGCTTATCGCGTGTTTTCAACGTTCATTTATCTAAATCGTTATATCATCGTTGTAACGTTGTTTGCAACACAGCTTGCGAAAGCTGACGTTTTCAATTAGATTTTCTTAGGTCAAATTAAATAGCCGTAAATTCATCGGAGTCCACGCATACGTCCCCGTCGCCTCTCCCCCGCACAGCTTATATACTGTTCTCAGAAGAGTATGTAATCAAAATATCTGAAATAATTTGTAAAATAATTTTCGTTCGCGGTCTCGCTGAAGTGTACAAAGGTGTTCTTAGAGAAAGAAAAAAGAAAAGAAATTCACAGCCCCAAAAATTAACAATTATATTTCTCTTTCCATACATCCTTCATCCTTTTACGCATTTGCGCAATGCGGATAACGAGTGAAGAGTTACCGTTGGACGAGATTCTATACGACAGCACAGCGGGATTTTTCGGGGTGTAAATCGATTGAGTTGGTACATGCGTGAAGTTGGCCCTGTACTTTTCGAATTTTATATTTTTTTTAATTGTGCTGCATTGTGCTACGTTTGTGCCGTATTGTACAATCCGCAACTCTGTAACTCAAAGCGTACTCGAGAAAATTAACAAAGAGTAAATTTTTGGTAGCCCGGCGCTTTTCGAATTTTGAGTTTTTCTTTATTGTGCCGTATTGTGCTATATATGTTTGTGCTGATTTGTGCCGCAGACCGCGAGACCGATAACTTCAATAACATTTGAGAGAAAAAATAAAAACGAAAATTTGCCAACTCCCCATTTTTGTCCGAAAGTGAAACATTTTTTTTTGCGTCACGAATTTTTGCAACTTCTTTTTGCAATCTGAGTAGTTTTCGATACATCTCTAAATGGTACTTCTTATTTTACTCGATTAGCACAATTCAGCACAACTTGCGGCAAATGCATTGTAGAAAAAGTTATTTGTTAATTTGTATTTTAACTTTAACATTTTTTTTCTACTGAACGAAAGGAGATATCCAGTTTCTTCAAACGGCACGACGCGACACAAATTAATAAGAATTCACAAACAAAAATTGGGTTCATTCAGACAAAAGTAGGAGGCTGACAGATTTTTGTTTTTATTCTTTTTCTCAAATATTATTGAAGTTATCGGTCTCGCGTTTGCCGCACAAATCAGCACAAATACAGCACGATATGGCACAATAAAGAAAAACTCAAAATTCGAAAAGTGCGGGGCTACCAAAAATTTAGTTTTCCTCAATTTTCTCGAGTACTTCGAGTTGTTTGAGTTACAGAGTTGCGGATAGCATAATGCAGTACAATTCGAAAAAATATAAAACTCGGAAAGTATGGCGCCAACTTCAGACACATCGAGTTGGTCGCGGTTCAACGGTAACTCTAGACTCCGCCGCGAGTCTAATGACACGTGTGTCTGTGTACGCGCGTGTGTTACTTCCGCCGACGTGAGAATTACGCGGGAAGACTCGGCCGTACGTAACGTCTGTATCACGTCGAATGATTTGCTATTCGCGCGGCTCCGGCCGCGCCGGCGGAAACTTAGATTGCTTCGCCGACTAATTCCTATCCCGAGCACCCGCGCTAATTCGACGTCGAAACTCGCGGCGCGTCATACCTGAAGCGGCTCGATAAATTACTCGCCGTCCATCCAATTACCGGCGACGTGCTTGCAGCTCGCTTCGTCATTCACGGTGACTACGGCGCGAGCTTGCTCGCTTCTAGTTGCATGTTTTGTCGCTTCAACGTAACCACAGTGGACATTTACGGGGTGAGCGTTGTTTCGCTCTACGAGGGAGGTGGATCATTTGGATGCACAAGCATCCTTAAGACGTCCCGAGACGCGATTTGTTTCCGCGATTATGTCTGCGATTTGCGATCGTGTCGGTCTTTGTCACTTTAATCGATTTCTTGTACAAACTCATTACGGTTCCTCATTCTTAGACAATTAGAGTCTTCCTATTTAAGCCTCCTCGTGTAGGCCTCTTCTCTGCCATTTTGTAATTTCACGATACTCATACTTTGTTTCATCAGCTTTATGCGTTACGGCGACGAAGAATGTGACTTTATTTTTCCTTCCTCTTGCCGCATTTAAAGGATTTAATATACGCAGCATTTTTGAGCTCCAACGCTTCAGTCATCAGGGGAATTTCGATCGCAACCATCAGCCCTTAATGAAGCCCAAGCTCAAGGAAAGCTCGACGGGGCACCTGATCGCGTGCAGACAGGGCCCCGGAATCTCGCGTCAGTTCACGTATGCACGAGTGTGTACGTGGCGATGACAGGGTGGCGTGACGGAGTGCTAATAATACGTATAATAGGTCGTGGTGTGTCGACGTGGTGTGCGAGCGCGAATTCGTGCCGATAAGCGCGCGCGCGTATGTCCACAGCGGCTGCAATCTCGGTGGTCTCCCACACACACGCGCACACACATACACACACACACAGACATGTCACCCTGAGCGACCGAGGCACTGGTGCCACGCGCGTGTGCGTCTCCGCATTCGGAGATATTTAAAACCTCGGCGAAGGAACCGGGTCACGTCGCGTGGATAAAGTTACCTGTTGTACGACCGAGTGTATCGTACTCTCTTCTCAATACTTACTTCTTTCGCAAGAAACGCGCCTTTTACGCGCTCATTAATCACTAAGTATCGATGCCCTCGAGCTTGTGTTTGAGCGATCGAGACTCGCGCCATTCGCGGCACTCGCGCTCGTGAATAGCGAAATGAATTGCGACGCGCTAATCGATCCTCTCCCGTTTATCTATTCTCACTCAAGCGTCGTACTTTCCTTCTCTTTTCTTCGAATATTCGGCTCCGCGTCGATCCCTCGCAATTGTGTAACGAAACAAGTACTGCCCAAGTATCAGTTAATTGCTCAATTCGTCGGATACTCAAATACTCCAGCATGCAAGATTCAATGTGATCCAACGAATATCAGGCAGGAGGAAAAGACAATTGGGACTGTCACAGAGATGTAAAATGTAAACGCGATTCTGCTATTTCGTTTCGCGTGTCGCGGATTGACTTGAGCGGCCGACGAGCGCCTCGGGAATGCCGCTCTGGCATGGATCGATCGATGCCGGACGTCGAAGCGCGCGCTGGATGGTCGATGACGCGTCCGTCTTCCGCGTCCTTCACGAAGACAGCCGGTGCGCGATTGTGGGTCGGCGAGCATTCCTCGTCAGTGGCCGAATTCGGAAATCGGTCACGGCTTGATACCCTCGCGGACACACGAGAGATGGCCCGCTCGAAATCGAGATGGACGGACGTCGGGGAATGTCGCCGTACGGCCGACGTCCTCTCATCACTCGCGTCTCGTTCTCTTTTCGCGCGGGTAGCGCGAAGCGTGGACGCAAAGCAAAGGGAACATCGAGTGATTGAAGAGTAATTTGCCGGAGGTCTTTATCGTGATTCGTATTCGTCGGGATCGCTTGATTCAACATCGACACCGCATTGGCAAATAGAGTTCTACAGAGTGATTGTATTTTTTCTGTGTCTTTTTCTGTCTTTCCTCAGGGATGATGTAAAGGCTCGGGAATTTCGCAATTTTCAACAATTTTTCAAATTTTCAAAAAATATAATTAGGACGTTTATATTTCTTATATTTATGTTACGAATTATCAGACCGATTTCCGATTTCATTCTCGCGCGAGTAATTGCCCCTCGATACTGAGTAATCTGCCGTTTCGCAAATCTTCTCGGTATTGTCTAACACGGGCAGTCGCGCAGTTCCGCGCTGATTACTGCCTCCGGCAGATTTCCGAACTTTTATGACCGTGCAGAAACTGTCGCAGAGATTTCGTGCATGGCGGTGATCGATGTCGCGCGTCGCTAAAAGCGGAGCGGGGGCTCGTGGTAAAGGAGCGGCGCAGGATTCAAAGTGCCGAGGTGAGGTGAGTCTGCACCCCCGGGAGGGAGGTGCGAGGTACGAGGGAGGCCAAGCTATTTCTCAGCTTCAGCGGCAGAGCCTTTCTTCGCGGGAATATATCGACACGTCAGGAGCACACTGCCCCGTTTACAATATCGCGTATAGGAACGTGCGCGCGCGCCTACATTTCGGCCGTCTCGCACCTCATCGGCGAGAAACATCGCCCCGCGACGATTCCGCATCGATCGCGGAAACTCTGGATCCTCTGAGAAAGTGAGATAAACGAAGTCTCTCTCTCTCTCTCTCTCTCTCTCCCCCCCTCTCTCTCGCTCTGCCCCCCCTCTCTCTCTCTCTCTTCGAGAGACGAGTGAGAAAATCTCCACATCCGGAGTGATAGCGATAACGATTTAATCGAAAGCTGATTAACGTGTCGCCGTTACTAATTGACATCAATGCGTGGGATCAAGGCGGCAGAAGAAAATCGCGTCCGAGGATGGCGAGGGGTATGAAAAGTCTGGCACCGACTTGCAATAAGAAGATAAATAAATAAATAAAGCTTCGAACGTTCCGCGATATATATTCCGCGCTTTCGAAAGCCTCGCAGGAGGTCGCGAGATTCGGCGGGAAATAGCATCCGCGGGAGGACTGTCTTAGATCATCCCTTTAAACACGTAGCCTTCGCCACTTGGGAATCTTCCCTCTCGTATATATATTACCGAAAGCTCTCCTGGATCGTTTCAATCGGGTAATCCGCAGAGTCGACACCGGGCGGCGGCGGCGGCGGCGCGATACGGACCTACATAGGCGTGTAACCGATCTGAAATAACTCGGCCAGGTGCCCCGCGTATTGTTCCCGTCAGCGAGTTCCGGGATCATCGACGCTTTCGCTTGGATTCGTCTGATGCGCGCCCGGAGGAAGCATCGCAGGTTAAGGCCGGCTGGAGGTTGCGTGGTGGAGGTTAGCAAACCACCGCCTCCTCTTCGCCTCCTCCACCACTGCACTGGCTGGCTGGCTGGCTGGCTGGCTGGCATCGTCCTTTCGGTTCTCCAGCGAGACTCTCAGTTGGCCGCCGACTGCCGCCCGTGCGTTGCGTTCGTTCGCGCCGCTCGAGTCGCTCCCGCGGGATTCGGGATTCTCTCTCCTCGCCGTTGCGCGCTATCATCGCGCTTCGTTATCAGCCCTTCGCGAGCCCTTCAATCGTCTCGCGATTTAAGCGTCATCCGAGCGTCACCAGATTCGTCCGTCCGTTCCTCCTCCCTTTTGTGCGTGCGTTTGCGAATATTCTTCTTTTTTTTTGTCGTTCACGTGCGTTTCAAGATTTCGCCCTCGTCCTCGAGATTTCCCGCGTCTTTCACGGGCTTTCTCATACTCGTGCTCGCGCGCCTCGTCGGCAGTTCGTCGAACGTATCGGCGATATCCAGCACGTGAGGCTTACGCGCGCTTATTTCGCGAACGGCGCGGAAAAATCGAAAACGCGAGAGGAGTGAGATTTCTCATGATGAAACGCATTGTCGACGTTCGTTCGCGGAAGCATCCACGGCATCCGTGAAAGCCGGCGATCGCGAAACTGATCGACAGTCCGTCACCGCGCTGCCTTGCCTGGATTTTTTTGCGGTTTAATCTGACACGCTGCGTGAACATCGATCAGGCAGGAGAGGTGAGAATCTGCTGAAGTTATCTACGATATCAAATCTGTCGGGCAATTTTTTCCAACATTTGCGGTAATTGCTGCGGTCGCGGAGCTCTTGATTTCAGCGTGCCTATTTTTAGAAAAAAATAATTTACTCCGATAAGTAGAATTGATCTCGGCTGTTTCCCGTCGGAATGAAGAGAGATTCAATTACTTTGAACTTTTTATGTAAGAATACACAGGTGTGATATAATTTTCTGGATAATAAATTGCGCTTATAGAGAGAGCTACAACACTGGCGAACTGATGTTTACGTTTAAGGCGAGTCGTATGCGCGCATGTTTCCTCTCTCTTTCGATGAGCTCTAAATATATTATGCGATATCGTTAAGCATCGTGGCGTGTTAAGATGTGAACCTGATAGCCAACCTGCATTGGCGATATTTCCACTATGAGAAATATAATACAATGATGCTGGTGGCAAATAAATAATGCTCGACTGTACAAAACATTCGAGAAACGATATTATTATTATATGGGATACATATTTCAACCATTTGAAATAATGAAAAAGACATATGTAACCACTTGTAACCATATGTCTGTAAAGCACACGTTACAAAGCTATGGGGCTCGTAACGTTGGGAACGTGATAACCAGGGAATCGCGTGCTGAACAAAACTACTGTCACTTCAGCCGACCGCTGCAACGTTACGACTGCAGTTGTAGTTTTTATCGGAAAAAATTCCACGTGTACGATTCTGTCGCGTACACCTTCGTCGTGTCGATCAATTTCGCTGCTGATTGGAAATACCGTATCTTGATCTCCCGGGCGTATGAAGTCACGAGATACGAAGTATCGAGTCCTTTTCCCAGACGCTGTGTACAGAAAATCGATCTGTCAACCTTTTCACATGCGACTCGCACCGGTTTACTTTCCCTCTATTTGCAATTTGCAAATATATTACTCGGGGATACTCAATAATCGTTAAATATTCTTGGCTAGATTAAGCGACCAAGAAGGTCGCAGAGTTTGCAGAGAGGAAATTGGAGGAGAGAGAAAGGAAGAGAATAGAGAGAGAGAGAGAGAGAGAGAGAGAGAGAGAGAGTCTGAGAAAACGCGGTTCGACAAATTTAATAAATAGCTCGAGTTAACAAGGAGGCCGAATCGAAGACGGCTCTTCCTAATATCATCTGTAAATATCCCGCGTTATCGACAAGATCGGACAAACCGTGAGAAATAGTCGCTCGCAGTACCAGCAGCTATCGCGGAGTACACCGCGGGGGAGAATTTACCGTGCCAAACACGGAAAATCGAGCCACCGGAGCGCAAAGAGTACGAATGTAACGTCGAAGAGGGGTGGATGAATCGCCGTGGGGCAAAGACTACCGGGAGGGAATTTCGAGTTTTCTTCGGCGGGGAGCACGGGAGATAAGGACCGAGCGCGCGACGAAAACCCCTGTCAGGTGCACCCTTTCGCACGGTGTTTGCCAATAATCGGTTCCCCGGCAGCGCAGCGTACGTCACGATTAACCATGGCGGAAGCTCTACGAATTCGTACCCGCGCCGTGCGTTTCCGCAACGCGCGCGAACCGCTTGTCGATCTTTGTGTCCCCTCCTCCCCCGCACTCCACAGCCCCTCAACCCATGGTTACCCTCCCCCCCCTTCAGCCGCGGCGTCGCACGGCGTGCTTTACTACCATTCCCCACCGATTTATGTCACTTACAGTAGCGCGCGTACAAATAGCGCGATTGTTGTTCCGTCCAAGTAACTTGTGCCTGCGATTATCGCGGGTTAAAGCGCGGCGTCGCGACGCATCGACGCTCGACGCGCGAAACACGCAGACACGCGGGAGAATTAACGCGTACTTACGACGGTATGAAAAAGGCAGAAAGAAGAAAAGGGCGAGGGAAAAGGAAAAGCAGACACCTGCCCTCTCTTCACCTCTTTCCTTACCGCCCGCCCCCCCCGCACCGGGTGCATTCGATAAGACGCGCACGCGACAGCAGAGTTCGCCCGAGGAGCCGTCTCGAGTTTTCCCGGGCGGGAACTTTGGGATCTCCAAGCCCAACGCCGACAGATCGCCGATGCGGAAGGCAGGAGGAAAAGAACCACCTGTGCTCTCGGCACGGCGCGCGAGAGCCGTGCTATCGACGAGCTCGTTAAGCGAGCCCGAGAGAGAGAGAGAGAGAGAGTCCGTTTACAGGCTGGCCCCCGTGTCGAAAGTGTCCCCTCCTCCCCCCGCCGCGCGTGAACATACCCGTGCCCCGTATGTGCACGCGCGGCTTCCTTGCACGTACGCCGGCGGTGTGCGGCGTGTTATACCGAAGTATTATATCGATTAACTGTTGGCAACAGAAGAGAGGCGGAGGAAAGCTTGTCAGGGGCTGCGGCGTGGCTTTGGCTTTTCTATATTATTAATCTTTCTCTTTCTGCCTCCCTTCCGCTTCCTCGCGCTCTCGCTCGCTCTCTCGCGCTCTCTTTCTCTCTCTCTCTCTCGCGCTCTCTCTCTCTCTCTCTCTCTCTCTCTCTCTCTCTCTCTCTCTCTCTCTCTCTCTCTCTCTCTCTCTCTCTCGGCTCACCCGTGATGGTTACCTTCCTCTTTGCCCCCCATCACGCCTCAACCCCGGCGAGCTCTGTCTGCCGTTGCTCCGCTCGACCTGCCATATACGCGTCCGTCGAGTCAGTCAGGTGTTGCGGGCAGCTTCTGCGCTTCAAAGAGAATCAAGAGTTACGGTCGGAGAGACTCGACCTCCACCCTGCCGGTGCCTCTCGCTGGTACCTGCGGTTACGTTACGCTGCATACCGCGGTACCATCCGCGAGTTTCCTCTTCCGGCTGGCATGTAATTAGTGCGTGCCTGCGGTTGGACATAAGTTATACGAAAGGACGACGGTTGCGCATCGAGGAAAGGCGATCGCTTCGGGATATTATGCGAATGAGGGAGCAGAGAGAGAGAGAGAGAGAGAAAGAGAGAGTTTGTTACGTGTCCTGGGACAAAGGTTTTCCCTTGGGATACTCTCTGTGGTGAGAAAAAAGGACAGTCGTACAGCGTTCAGCATTTGCCCGCTGCGTAATTATCAAGTCCGAAAAATGACTTAACACGTGGGAAAAGGGATTGCGATGTAATTAGAGGAACCGGTCTGAATAATACAAGTTGTCGCTCGCAACGGTGTGAGGAAATCAATTAGTATGGAGCTGTATTGAGAGTTACGCATGCACGACGATAAATCCGAAACGTAGGATTTTCAACGGCGGATTGATATCTCCGAGCCTGACAGACGTGCAATGCCGAAATAAATCGCACATCGTCGATATTTGCGAAGGAAGGAGACGGTTTTATGGCTCTTCAAGCCCGCATATAACATTAGTGCGGCTCTATTTCTTTGTATCGGCGGAGAGTTCGCGACCGAAAAGTGCTGGAATTGCCAGCTACGCGATTCAAACGGAATTGTAGTTATCGAAATTTTTATCGACGATAATCCGCGGATGATTGAACTGCACGTGTTGTCGGACTCGGTTGGAGGATGCGCAATGCCGGAATAGATTCATATCTCACTGGCCTATAGGAGCGCTAGCAATTGCATCGGGATACTGTTCGCCACCTACTCGCGCACCTAAACGTTTAACAGCTCCCGTAGTTAACCACGTGTCCGACAATTTTCGCTGACACTGACGAACCGGCCGCACCATCGGCGCACCTGTGAACACCATCCGATATTTTCGTGGATATATTAAGTGTCGATCGATCGATTGCGTCAGACACCTGGCAGCAGTTTAGAAAAAGTAAGCCGCGTGCGCGTGCAATATTGATCTCTTTTCTTTAATTCTAAATTCTATAAAATATATATATATATATATATATCCTATATATGTATATATAATTTACTTGGGGTTTCTTCTTATTTTGGAGTTAGATATATTCTAAAATTAATTTCCCGCCAATAATATGTAAATGCATCTACCTCTATTCGGATATATACTAATTATGTGGGTCTTTTTGCGCAAAGTATGAAAACTCGTAATTAGAAAGGTCCGTTCTTTAGTTTTCGAATTTACTAAGTAAAGCTCTAGCTTTGTTCGGCACGGAATTTGTGCGTCGTTGTGTGAATTCGTATTTATAATTCAATGACATGGATATGACAGCTACGAAACCGAAATTGTCCCGAAATTTGGGCTTAATTATCGGCGACAAATGACGTACAATTATGCCCGATGCAATTTCTTGATTAATATCGGATGTGTGTGCAACAGAGTCCATATAACTGCCTAAAACAATACGTTTGTTCGGATGAGAAAAATTTTCGATTACCATTCCTCCGAATGTTTTTTGGGGACGTTATCGTTTGTACTAAATTGGAAACAAATTTTTATACGCAGTGCACCTTTTTACGTATAAACGCAATATTCCCTTTGTAATCTCTTCGAGCAAAATTCACTCGGGAGATCACGATCTTGCGAATTTACGTACATAAGTGTAATTAGATGAAAGTTAAGTAATATCAGTCGCGGATTAGCGCGTTATCTGCGGAACAGTCCATTTAAGAAATAAAACTGTGTAGATGCGAGGTGACGAACGTTGATGGACCGGCGTGGTAATTAATTATCCACGTACGCGATGACGACGCCCTCAATTATTTTCTCGTTAGTCCCCCGGGAAAAAGTCGGTTCGTTCGGCGCGTTTGTCTCGGTAAACCCGATACACCCGGTAAATAGGACAAATCGTCTCGTTAATTGAAAACGTGCGCCGATAGTCTTTTTTTTTTCACTGGAATTAGGTAAAGTCGAGGTCTCTTCCTCTCTCCCACCCCCCTCCTCCTCCTTCCCCTCCCCCGCCGCCCCGCTATAACGTTAACCAATATTCTCGATCACGAGAAATATTACCACGACTGTTGGGAGCGTGTGTCGCGCGAATGAAAGAGTTAATTGCAAATATCGAAACAATATTCGGAGCCGTGAAATTCGTTTCCGTTTTAGCATTTCATAATTTTCCTGGCGCGCTCCCGCCGTTCCGGTTTAACGCCAAG